CCAGATAGCCTGGTATATGGTAATTAGGAAAGAAAATTTCAAAAAGTTTAGAGAAAAGCAAGGTAAAATCTCATGGCCAGAGAATATTCAGGAAGTATTACCAATTCCCACGCAGGCCCGGGCAAGAAACTTAAAACTTGGGGACTCAGCTGCTGCTTTTTTGACTCTTCCACTTGGTGATTAGAACTTTGGAGAAGAAGCCAGGGTGGACAGGAAGGGAGCAGCTGGTCACACAGATGGTGTCAAAGCTCATAATCTGATGTTCTGGATTTCGGCTGATGACACCCGTGGTGGGGGCTCCTGGAAAGTGACATGTATCATAGAAAACTGGGAAGAAGGCTTCAGGCAAATTCCTGACCACAACTGAATTGTTTTGAAACTTGAGATTAGGTAGTGATGCTGTTTGGTGAAAACATAAACAAAACTGTAAGCTAGATCATAGGCAGGATATCATAAATGGCATAGGAAGGCGGATGGCAGTGGAAAAGGATGTCCCAGATGATGGGAAAAATCTGGGTTACATGGCTATTCTAGTGTCTCATGAGATGACAATAGATTTTTTTTTTTTAAAGCTAAATTAAGTTTGGGGAAGCCTACATATTAGATACTAACTCTCTGAAACTCTACATTGCATATTAGCATAGTTAAGGCTTTGAGGAAACCCACAAAGAAAGCAACTTATCTGTTTTAAGCCCTGAATTTGCCATCGCAGTTGGGCCATATAAAGACTTACAGGACATCCATTCTACCTACCAGCCATGCGGCACTGATGTTCTAACAGACCACTTTAGAAAATGTGGATCTATATCAATGCACAAAGTATTGAAATGCACAAAAATTAAAAATTTCACAAAACTCAAACTATGGGGAAGAAAATAAACGTGAAACAATAACACAAGCAGGTAAATGTTATGTTATACATAAACCGAGACACTGAAGTATGGGATGTAGGGCTGGAGTAAAACAATATAATGGTATGTTCTGGACAAAAGAAACCAATTCAGTATAATGATACTAAGCAGCACTTGATAGGAAGAGGGTAAGCAGGGAAGTTGAGGACAGTGGGGACGGAATCATGGGGGGCACATGTGGGGAATGACAGAGGGGAGGAAAATGGAGAGGGTGTCGCGTGCGAACCACAACAGCACGTCCAAGAAGAAAGGCGCAATGCGACCCGGGCTAAGTGATCCGATCTCCTGGGAAATCCTTTTTGATAAAATCAGAGAAGATGAAAAAGGTGTGCCTTCCTTTGCTGATAATTTTAATCTCTCAATAAGCCCCAGGAGTAGGAAGGCATGGGACTGGGTATCAATTCAGTTTTAACCAATTTGGGAAGAGGGGTTGGTCATCTAGACATACCGGAGATTCTGGGAGAAGGCCAGGTGCTCATAAAATGCAGCCTCTCCATAATCCTGTCAGAGACAGTTTGGCTGAGATGTCTTGGGAGGCAGGCCACACTAAACAATCTTTAAGCCCCTTCTGAAACTGCGGGCACCCGGGAGACTTGCAAACGCGGCCCCACGCAGACTGCGCAGACGCGGCCCCACGCAGAAGCGGCTGCCTGCGGCTGTGTTGAAAGCAGCACTGACCACAGGGCACGGACGCTATGAAGAGCACAAGATATGTCATATAATATAAATACACAATAGAGCTATCAGAGCTGAAACAATGGTACTGGAACAAAAACAGATCGGTAGTACAGGCAGCTATTTCCAGAGTAGATTAAAATACACATAAGAATGGAAGATCTGATCAAAGAAGGAAGTAAGCCTATGGAGGCACAGAAAATTGGGAATACCTATCAACTTCTAGCTTGGGCTAAGCCTTTCGGTAGTTAGAAATGGAATAAAGAATTCATCAAGGAAAAGTTAAACCTATTAAAAAAAAAACAGCATTAAGGGGCAAGAAACAGACTAGAGAAGTATTTTTAGGAAATAGGAATGCCAAGGATTAACATGCTTAACTGTGAACCACTAAACGTAAACCAAAAAGAAAACAACTCTACCAAGAACTCTTGTGTGATAAATGGATATGGTATGAAAGTAATCTATTTACAAAAGAGGAAACATGAATAGGAGATAGGGAGGGAAAGTAAATAATTTACAAAGGGTAGTTATAAAACAATTTAAGGCCAAATAATAGGATGCCATCTTTGCATATCAAATTAGTAAATATATATTAAATACACATGTAGATTTCGGAAATTAATTGCCCAGGATTTCACTTTAAAATGTTCATTTCTTGTGACCTACTAGTTCAACACATAGGAGTCTATCCAAGGACAATAATTCTATTTGCTGAAAAGCTCTATGCATGGAAATGTTCATGTAATATTATGTTTTTTAAAAAAGAGCAAAACAGAAAGAAGGAATAAGTTAATATTTAATGAATGCTTACTACGTGTAGGTACTATGTGGTTATTGCATGTAAGTTATCCTACTAAAATCTCACAACAGTCCCATGAAATAGACATAATCATTTCACAGAAAGGTAAAATGCTTCTACATGCTTCAAGAGATTAAGTTCTCCAAAGAAACTTGGCTAGGAAGAGTAAAGCAATGGAAACAGCCTACATGTAAACACTGGAATGGTTAAATAAATTGGAGATTCCTTCAATGGATTAAATTTCTTAAACATAAAACAATAAAATGGAAAAATAATTTAGGATAAGGTGTTACTAAAAATGCATCATAGAACAGTTTGTATTCCATATGATTAAACCATGTGGATGGAAAAAAGACTGGAAGAGAACACATACACACCAAGCAAATAAAACCGAACCCGACCCTGAGGCAGAGTCAGCCGGCAGCCCTGGGAACAAAGCAAAGTGCTCTTACACTGGCGGAATGCAGACATGATGAAGGGGCGCCCAGGAAGACCCTGAAAGGCTCAAAAACAGTTTAAGCAGTCTGGCTAATCCGGGAGATAGAGAACGTAATTCAGGGCAGATACGGTAAATCTTCTCTAACGAGCAGGGCTGTAATTCTTTTCATGGTAAGTTGCTGGGAAAATCATAAATTGGTCATGGTTAAAATGTCAGAAGACTCAAAATCATAAGAAAAAATAATGAATTATTGAGCTTGTGGCTTACTCTGGAAGTTATCCAACATTTTCTGAGAGAAGTGGGAGGTGGAGACAAGAGTAATTTCTGCTAGATGAATATTTCAATTAGGCAGTTGGGAAAATTTAGGTGGAAAAATACAAACCTTTGCTCTCAAGTTAGTAGAAGGAAGTATCTGTCTGGGTTAAGCTTTAGGGAAAAGGAGTCTGGATAAACACATGCTCGAACCATAGAAAATGTCACTTATGTACATACATACATGTCATGCACCAGACTAATCCTCAACTCCACGTGAATTTTATAATATTTTGGAGAATTTTATAAATAGCCTAAGTATAATGCTTTGTAACTCAATCTTTTTTTTTTTTTTAAGATTTATTTATTTATTTTACAGAGAAAGAGAGAAAGTGCACATGCCCACGAAGTGGGAGAAGGGCAGAGGGAGAGAATCTTTAAGCAAACTCCTCGCTGAGCACGGAGCCCAGTGTGGGGCTTGATCTCATAACCCTAAGATCAAGATCTGAGCTGAAACCAAGCAACGCTTAACTGACTGAGCCACCCAGGCGCCCCTGCAACTCAATCTTTGACTTTCCTTTTTCTGTCTCCCACTTTACCCTGCTTCCTGTCCTCTCTCCTGTTCTTTCTTATTATTTGAAAAAATAAACCATATGTAAATACATATACGTATAGGTATACACACATGTAATTTACCATAACTAGTTTAGAATTTTCTATCTATGGCCATTATTAAAAAGCAACAAACCAACCAACCAAATATGCTTGGTCAACTCAGCACAAAATACATAGGTCTGTGGGTATAGAAACGATCTCTCCAAAAGCTATTGGTTTCTACCTGGTGTGTACCATCTACCCTCATCTAACTTGATGGGCAAAAGTGAATTGTTCTTCTGACATTAAAACAATGACCATAACATACATACTGACTGTCACCTTTCCATTGCAAATTCCGAGAGGGCAGGGACCACACCTGCTTTGTTTACAGCTGGAGGCCCCACACCAGGACAGTAACTCAATAAATACTTACTGAATGAACCGATGAGTGAGTGAGTGAATACTGCAAATCTTAGGTATCTTCTCAGACAGCTTAAGTCCTACCTCCCTGATAATATCTTCTCTTAAAGCCCAGTGGTTCATCCTTCTGGAAATTACTACATTACTAGCCTGCGCCATTACTTAACACCTGATTCTGCACATTATTTTTATTGCTGTTTTTTGTTGCTCTGTTTTGCAATTTAGGGAGACACAGTCCTCAAAGACACACACACATACACACACACACACATATATATTCTGTTTCCCAAAGTACTTGTTACAGGGCACATGGAAAATCCTCAATAAACATGTATTAATTGAACTGATGAAATCTTTTAACTGGCCTTCTACTTTGTGACATTTCTAAACATTTTCTGTATGGGATGCATTGTATTATGATTCCAAAGTGTGATGGGAAAAATGTAGAATATGGAGTCAGTTGAGTTGAGTTTCTAGTTATGTTACTTCAGTGCTGAAAAGCCACCTAAAGGCTTGTCCTCTGTTTCCCTGTCTTTTAAATGGGAACATTAACAAATAAATAAACAACAATATCTCCTTGCCTCAAAAAGATGACTGTGGAATCAAATGACATAATGTATGTGAAAGAGTTTTGCGAATTGGAAAGCAAATGTTAGCTTTTCTATGTAGCAATTAAAAATATGAACTTGATATTGCAATGCTACAGAGGATACATGGCTTTTTTCTGAGAATAGTTATTAGGCAGGAGAGTGAGGTGATGAGAAGAACCTCCAGCACAGCCTGCCAAACATGCCCCTGGTCATAAATCACAGACTCTACTCAACACTTGTGTGTGAGGGAGATGACTGGGCCCCCGTCCCCCACATCCTCTGGCACTGCCACGAAGTCCCTTCAAACCCAAGCTTACCGGACACGAGCTGCTGTCCAGGCAGCCCCACGGGAACCATGCCCAAGTTATTCATGGCGGTGGCCCAGGCTGTGGGATCTGTCACGGACATGTTGAGCTGCGTGGTGTCTATCGCTATACTCCCCAAACCATCGGCTGCTGTGGGGAGAAACAAACCATGACTTCCAGTCAATAGGCGAGAGTTTTTGTTTTAAAGGAGAGCACACATTTCTGGAGACATGATACTTCATTTAGCACATTCCCAAACCACACAAAAATAAAGCACTGTAATCTACGGCAATGTTTTCTCCAAACGTAAACATAAAAGAGTTTCCAAATACATTCTGGGAGGAAACTTAATGACATGTAGTTTGTATTATACACAGCATGCCATTAAGAAAGTACTCCTGGAAAAAAAAAAAAAAACACACAAAAAACAAAACAAAACAAAACAACACCTGAAGAACTGCTTCTCTCTCTCAGTGAAAAAACATTAGTTAAGTTCCAAGGTTGAGAGGCAAAGCAGGACAACTCCTTTGGTAAAATAAGTCAACTGGCTTAGTAGACTAAAAATAAATACAATCATCTGCTTCTGAGGAGAATTCTGGAGCAGGCATACCTTCTAACTAATTAATAGAATCTTTAAAAACATTGTCAAGTAGCCAAACTGGTCCTGACTGAATTCATTAGTGTTACCTTGTAACATATTCTTTCCCTTCTAAGCTTTCTGGATCATTACATTAAGGAAATGCAGGTGTCCACCTAAAATGACTCCTCCAAAATATTTTTTCCAAGTTCAGACTTTCATCAAAACAAAATAAGCCAATAAATAATATTAAAAACAAAGAGCACAGAGCTTAAAAAAAAACTCAGCAAAATATGTGAAATTTGACTTTATGCTTCTTGATGTACACTAGTTGCACAGCCTGGTTTCTGTTAAGGATCCCAGGTTCCCAGGTCAATGCACCTGTTCATGGCCGGGCAAGCTTTTCCACTAAGAACTCAAAACACCTTGCTGTGTCCTGTGCTGGCCGCCCCTGACATTTACCTGCAGCCATCATCTGAGGAAGCTGCTGGGGACACCGGGTGATGCTTTCAACGCCACCTGCATCTACTACTGAATTAGGAGCATCCTGGGCGGCAGGAGCGCTCTGATGGCTGAGTGCAGGGTCCCCACGGAGGTCATCGGATTCTGCAAAAGGGGAAAGCAGTGTGGTGAGCGATCGTGACAGTGACCTGAGGGAGGCTTCGAGGACAGAACTGTTGTCTAGGCAAAAACAGACAAGCGACAAGGGACAAGTTCCGGTCACAGAGTCATGGGCATGGGGCCCAGAGCAAGAGCTGCTTCCCGTGCCCCAGCAGCCGGCTCCTGCCTGGGTTCCCAGCTCTGGGTGCTGGGCGGGTCAGCTGTCGGCTCACCTAGAGCCCGGCTGCCTGAATAAGCAGCCCCATGCGCGAGCGAGTGAGCAAGCGAGCGGCCAGTGCCTTGCCTCCTCCTGAAGACACATCACAGACGGGGCTTATCAGCCCCTGAACAGCCTCTTCCACGTACTACACATCAATGGAGAGGGCAGACTCAGGGCTCAAGATGATTTTTTTTAAAGTTAAAAAATTAATTGATGTTGTTATTTCGGAAGACGGTCGTCTGTGAAATGTATTCAGAGAGGGGAAAAAAAAAAGTAGGGAAGAAGAGAAAGGCAAGAAGCTCTTCACTGTGAGGCTGGTAAAGGAGTGCACCCAGATTACAATAGTCAGGAAAGGCAAAAGCAAAGAATGGCAGGTGGCTCATAAAAGAAGATCGAGAGGATGTTGGGGCAGCAAAGGAAATGCAGTTGTTTCTTTTAGTTCTATGGAGATAAAGTGAACAGGCCACAGTTTGTTTGGTCTGAATTTTCTCTAGTCTCACAGTGCGCACCATGCGCGCACACACACATGCATGTATTTTTATTAAACTTTACAGAGCACTTTTCTAATAAAAACAAATAACAATAAAACATTAAATAAAGCTGTAAAGGAAAGGGTCCCTTTATTGCACACTATTTATAAAATGCTACGCCTTCTCTCCATCCTTAAAAATGCAAAACCATGGAATTCATACCTACATATTTTTTTCATAATACGTATTTTAAGTGCACTTTCACCAGTTCAAAACTGAAAAACAAAACACACCACTTAGATGTGTGATCTGAGGAGTTTGAATTTTAAATAGATTTGATATAACAATTGAATTTAATTATTTCTTTTTATTTAGGTATAAATTTAGAAATTTTTCTAATCCATGTTTCTGTCAATGGATATTGTAGAATTCGAGGTTATGGCCCATTTCTGCATGTTTAGTGCAAAGTTTGGCCCTTTTATGGTATGCTCTTTTATTTGATTCTTAGGTACCCGAATCAGTAATCCCTTTGAACACTATACTGTCAAAGAAAACTCATTGCCTGTTGAGTATAAGTTTAGTTCAAATGGAAGCTCAGATTTCAATATTTCAAGGAGAGGTGAATAAAATGAGCAAATTGTTTCCATGGTCTCCACAAACCCCTAGTGTGAGACCAGAGGGGCACGCCAGATAGTGGGGAAATTTTTCCAATTGTTTGTCAGCGAGGTGAAACATCATCATGCAGTAGAAAACAATTCAACTCTGGGAGCAAACTGCACTGAGGACAAATGTTTTATACCTTGCAATTAAACTCTACTACCCAAACGAATTGAGAACTTGCTTATCTATGGTGAATCAATTATCTTGGGCAATGGATGCCATCGGACGACAAGTCTCACCATAGAAAATCAACTCAGTAACATAAAGACATGGCTAACCTAAATGTGTGCCCTTTGGCTACCCACACACCAGCTATATTTCTATGATGAAACTTGAAAGCACTTTCCCCTCTCCACCTCCAGCCAGTTCAGATCACCACAGCAGAGTCTGGCTACACTGTTCATTCTTTGTCTCGAATGGCCATGTAGTAGAGTCATTTCAGATCATTGCAAGGTCACTATTTGTCTTTCTTTATCTCCCCAAATGAAGTTTAGTTGGCTGCCTTCCTTCCAGCTTGGGTTCTCCCCAAATGGGCATTAATCACAACTTTCTGTCCAATGAGTCTACGGTTCTGGAATATTACAGCAGAGAACATCCCTTTACTTTGTAGACTTTACAACTTGTACCTGACCAGCCATATTTCACCTTGCCTTTTTGCAACAGTATTTTAGGAATGGTGTCAGCTTTCCATGGCTCCATAACTGTCTGTTCCGATGGTAGTTTTTTTCTTTAGTGATTATGGTGTTACAAAGGGCCATCAAATGTCCCGGGGGCCCATAGCGCCTACCCACACTTTCATGCCCACCCTAAATGGAGGCTGTTTCATTGAGAGCATCACTGAAACAAAAACAAACAAAACCCCATTGCTTTGTTGGCAAGATGTGGTTTGTAAACCTGAATGTATCCCCTACTGAGACTCTGTGACATTTCTTACATGTCTTTAATCTACCAACCCAATGGTTTCAATGTCATAAAACTTCATGTCGCTACCGTGTACCCAGAATGGTAAGTCTAAAGTAAGTTCTACAACATCTTAGGCATATGCAAGTCTCAAGGATGCCATGCAATTCTTTTAAAAATGTAAATTTCCTTGATGCTCAGATGAAAGATGATATTTTTAATTAATTACTGCCTAGTAATTTATGAATAGTGGCAAGAGTGATTTTCATACTCTACTAACATCTATCGTTCCTATTGAATACCTGCCTCTTTAGAGGACTCAAAACCATAATGCCTAATTTATCATTCAAATCAATTTCTCTGCCTTAGTGTTCTTATTTCTAAACTATAGAAAAGATTAATATTGTTAATGGTGTTTATTTACACACAGAGATGTGGGGAGCTAAAAAATTATAGCTAATAAAGTACTTTGAATATAGTAAGTGCTAATTATTATTATTTTATTTGGAAGTGTAGTGTTTCTATTAAGGTACCTTGGGCTCTTACTGTTCTACTGGATAATTATGCAATTAATTCTAAAACAGTAAGTAACACTTGATATTTCTAAAAGTAAGCATTGCCCTAGTTTTCTATGCCACACCTAAATGGTAGCAGAATGTTTCTTCATTTTCTACAAATCCTTTATAAAATAATATAATGTGATTTAAAAGGTGTATGATTTTTTTTCCTCTAGGTCTTTTTCTGTCTATGCAACTATGAAAGCTTTCAAGAGACTGATGACCAATTATGAAATTGGCAGTTTGAATTTATAGCTTTTAGTGTGATAAGATCATCACAAAACAATCAGATGTACAAAATGCCAAAGATAACAATGCAGCTTTATCCAGGGTTCAACTGAAATCTAACCCGTTCTTTGTTAAGGTACATTCAAGTACAAAACCTCATACTCAATTTAATAACTGTTCAACAAGGATCTATTTATGTTCAGGATTTCACTAGGCTATATCAATGGGGTAAATAATTTTTGAAACTCACCAAGCCTATGCAAATACTGTTTTTCCCCCTTCCCCCCTCAAAAACAAACAAACAAATAGCAGGGGCTTATTAGCTCACTGTAAATAACACAACTCTTGCTAACCCTGTCCAACTTTTATAGGTCCCAAGGATACATACATGCTATGAATAATAAATCCCATCTGTAACTGTCTACAAAGCATAGATTGTTATAAAATGGGGTGGAGATGAGTTAAGTTTTGAAAATTCTCTTTCTTTTTAATTTAAAAGAATGATTTTGTTTGATGTTAAGTCCTCAGGTTCATGCCTACTTCAACAGAAAAATATAGTAAGAAAATCATATTTATTAATGTGTTTTTTTTTTTTTTTAAAGATTTTATTTATTTATTTGAGAGAGAGAGAATGAGAGAGAGCACATGAGAGTGGGGAGGGTCAGAGGGAGAAGCAGACTCCCTGCCGAGCAGGGAGCCCGATGCGGGACTCGATCCCGGGACTCCAGGATCATGACCTGAGCCGAAGGCAGTCGCTTAACCAACTGAGCCACCCAGGCGCCCTATTAATGTGTTGTTAAGAGTTGATTCCAAAGGAAACTTATTTCATATGACATCTGAATCTTATTTTATAGGAATTATTCATTAGCATTATCTTGGCTTATACTTATAGCAAAAAGAGAAATGCATTCCTATCCAAAGTTCTACTTTTCTTTTCCAGCATGAAGAAAATATTTCACTTTGATGTTCATGTAATCAGTAGGATACTCTTGGGGTTATAGAAATGTTCCCTAGCTTAAAAAAATACAGAATATTGTTAAAGAGATGTTACTTATGTATTAACTCCATGATTTTTAAGCCAACTGTCTATGAATAATAAGGGAGACATTTCTGCTTCCTATAATGGTAAACAAAGTAATTCAGACCAATTCTCTCACTGAGAAACAACTAGAAAAGCTTAATGTCCTTCATCTGTTTAATAAAATTCTATTATTTCTTCAAATAATCCCAAAGGACACACTCTAATTACTATAGAGGGTTACTAGGCTTCTAAGGAGAATGGGTCCTGCCACGTACTAGGTCTTAATGTTTTACTGATCTTGGAAATGAGTGGCATCTCCAAGTTTTGAGGCAGAGTGGAATTGCTTTGCAAAATGTGGTCAAAGAGGACCCCAAGGCTAAGCGCTCTGAGGGGAAAGAAAGAAGGGATCTTGGGGACCACCCATGAGAAAAAGGCACTTTGGAGAAGAGAAATGACTGAAGCAGATTTCCAGGTGGCTCATTGGGAAGTATACAACGTATACAAGCATTTTCTTGTGCCCTCTATAGAAATGCCTGTAAAGTCTACATGATTCCTTAATTCTTAGCAGTAATTTTGGGGGTGCTGGGTGTGCTTTAGGGGAGCAGCTGAAAATAAAGATTACCTAAGGTACCACATGATAAGGCATGATAACATTTTCAAATCTGTTAAATATACAGGATGTTGGTTATGAATGATCAGTATCTCCTGATTAGTAGGAATGAAAAGATTAAGGTTTTGAAGAAGAGATTTAGATTTAACTGGATTTTATGAAGAATTAGATTTTATGGGGGAATTTCTGATGAGAGAATTGTAAAGTCAGAATATTCTATCAAAGAAAGATACAAAGATCCTTCTCAGTGATGGACAGAAAAGTCACCTCTTGGAGATGGTTATAGGCAGAGGGTGGAACTGGGCAAAGAGCAATTCAGGCAGAGCTAAACCTCACAGCA